GGTGCCATGGAGCCGGCGGAGGTGAAGGACCGCATCCTGGAGAACATCTCCCTCTCCGTCAAGAAGGTGGGTGGCGAGGGCCTGGGGGCGGCCCTGGGGACCCCCCCCTGTGCTGGGGCTGTGGGCCTGGGGACGGCCCTGGGGGCACCGCCCCGTCGAAGGAGCTGTGGGGCTGAGGACCCCCTGTGCCGGGGCTATGGGCCCGGGGACAGCCCTGGGGCCCCCCTTGTGCTTGGGGCTGTGGGCCCGGGGTCAGCGCTGGGGTCCCCTCTGTGTTGGGGGCTGTGGGCCCTGGGACAGCCCTGGGGACCCCCCTGTGTTGGGGGTTGTGGTCCTGGGGACCCCATATATTGGGGGTCTGGGGTCAGCCTGGGGACAGCCCTGGGGACCCCCTGTGTGCCGGGGGCTGTGTGCTCGGGATCAGCCCTGGGGACCCTCGATCTACCGGGGGCTGTGGGCCCAGGGGCAGCTCTGGGGTCCCCCCTGTGCTGGGGTGTCCCTGGGGACCGCCTCTGGTTGGGGAACACTGCTGGGGACCCCCCAGAGACACACCACCAGCAGAGACATGGGGCTGCAGGACGGTCCCTAGGGACCCCCACGGGCTGGGGACACCCCAGGAACATTGGGGGACTCTTTGGGACAGGAGTGTGGGGCAAGGACCCTCTGCTGTCCCCTGCACCAGCGGCAGGGGACACCTTTAGGGATTGCTCTGTGTGGGTTTGGGAACCCCCTGGCCCACCCCACCAAAGGGGCACAGCTGGGGTTACCCCCAGGAACCTCCAGCTCTGCTGTCTGGGATATATTGGGGTCCCCCCTGGGATTCCCCCTGTTCAAAGGGTTTCTTTCTCCTGTGGGCAGGACTGTGGGGGGATTCTGGTGGGTTCCGTTTTCCTGGGGCTGTTCACTGGGGCGACTGGGATGAGTCCACCGTGAAACCCTCTTTCCGGAGTTCTGGCCTACGCCACGGGTTGGCTGTGCCCTGGTCTGAGCCCTCAAAATGAGGGGTCTCGAGACCTGTCCCATAATACTTCATCTCTCTCCTCGTCCTGCTCCTTGCCCCTTGGCGTCTGCTGCTGGTGAGAGCGTTTCTTAAAGCCCATCCCTTTGGTGGGGATCTGCACGCCGGCACACAGGGGACCAGGATGCTGGAGCCTGTTTGTGGTGGTCACAGGGGTGAGTTGTGGGGACGTGCTGGAAGGTTTGGGTTGGGCCACATGTTCTGGCTGATCCACGTGTGAGCTCCAGCCATCTTCGAGGGAAAACACAGGCTGTGTTTGGGAAGGTGAACAGAGTCTTTTTTGTTTTCATCCTAAGTTTTGGGGGAAAGGAGGCTTTCATGACTCGCTGACGCTTCTCCAGTTGTTGGGTTTCCGCTGGCTTATGGAGTAGCAGTTTTCCTGTGATCTGCAGTGTGTCTTGACACAGATTCATCCCTGAAAACTTATCTTACAAAGACCATCACAAGGGAATTCCCGGCACTATTAAGGAATGGATGATCTGACATCGCCTCTGGGATGTAGAATGGATGTGCAAACCTCTCCCAACCTTTCTCTTTTCTTCCGTGGGTGACTCTGTCCTCCGGTCTCTCACCTTTCTGTCCTCTAAAAAGGAAGGATAATCTTTTATTTACCTGGAAATTGCTGGATGTTCAGCCTGCTCCGAGCTCTGTTACAATGCTCTGCAGCGCTACTGCCTCAGTTTCCCTATGCGTATAAGGATATTCTACTTCCCACACAGGATTCGTCAGACAGAATTTATATGCATTCAGAAAATCCTGGGGATCCCTGTTGGAAATGCTATAAAGTCAACATGGTGGCTAATTTCATGATTGTTGTACTCGAACAGGACTCCTCATCTACAGCTCTGCCTTGACCTACCTCAAGCTCTGCCACGATCCAGTGGTGAAGAGGGGCTTGGGGATTTTTCAGTCCTGCCCCATCGCTTTTTTGTTCAGTTCAGAGTGACAAAGCTCAGGGAGACGTGGGAAGCTACATGAGTCTTCAGGCTGACAGACCTATTTATACCACCCCAGCGAAACCAAACTCAGCCGCATGGCGAAAGTCCGGCGCTGGCACACCCCTGCTTTTTACCCCCGGGATGCAGTTCTCCTTCCTCAGGGACGTCGCTCCCCTTCCGCTATGGAGCCGCTAATTTTTCCCAACGCTTCCCTGTCTGACTTCAGCCCTCGAGTCCCTGATATTTCTCTTTTTCTCTGCTGGTGGGAAGAGTAAGATAGTAGGTTAGGGGAGCAGGTCCGCCCTTCCCGCGCCCTGCTGTGCGCTGGGAAATCCTGCTCTCCTTCATCCTCCTCTCCCTACCTCTGGGTCCGTCTTGAGTAACTCCTCATCGCTGGGATTGTGTTATGGGGCGTGGAGGAGTTTTCCAGGTATCTCAGGTACCTCTGGTTTCAAAAGCTTCCCAGCTGCGTAGGTTGCTCGCTCCTTACTTTTGCCATCGTTGCAGGTTGGAGTTGTGGAGCAGAGGGTTTGGATGTGTTCACGGTGATGTGCCTCTCCATAGCACTCCTCGGCCAGGCGGTAATAGGTTTTCTTCTCTCAGCTTCAGACGTGAGGAGTTTGTGGACTCTCAACAGTCTGTAGACTACGAGTCAGGCGTTACTTTAGAAGACAGCCAGGACTAAACCTCACCTTGAGACTGGGTAAACTGGGACAAACCACCACTGAAGGCTGAGGTACCTGGTTAAAATGTCAGGCTTTGAGTAGCAGCAGCATAAAAAATGCCTTATTTTCACCGAGTGGCAGAGGGAAAACCATCCTGACACTTGTCAGCTTCCCTCTGCCTCAAATGGGGAAGGCAACGAGCAGCAGGACAGCCCTGGGCGGGGTTTGTGCCACAGAGATCTGTGGCTGGGACTGAAGTTTCTCCAGGGTGCTTCTGAATTTCAGGAGCTGGGGAGTCAGAGCACAAGCAGTGCATAAATTCTGTACCAATCGACAGCAAAAAAGGTGCTTCAGTTCCAAGCGAATTGCTCGAGCCTCAGGGAACAGGACTGTTTTTATCTTATTTTCCTAGCAGTATAGGAGGGACGGAGCACAGCTGGAAAAGGCAGGGATGCAGACCTGCTTGGAGAGGGTCGTTACAAAGCTGTGGGTTTCTCTGCATGAGGTCTGGACCGTTCACATACTTCACCCATATCTCAGAGATCAGCAGTAGCTCTGCCGTGGACTGAAGAAGTGTGAGATCAGGCCGCGACTGCGGAGAGAGAGGCAGAACATCTAATTTAGACACCCAGTAAATTGTCCCCTGCAGCTGGAGAGATGTCGGGAGGCTGCTGCTCTTGGCTTCAGGAGAGGTTGGAAGGAGCTCAGCAGTGGCGAGTTGGGTCCCTGCTTCAGTTCCAGCACACATCCAAGGGAATTGTGAGCATGGTGTTAATTTCCCATCTGCACCTTGTCCTCTCTGTCCTCAGTGGGAGATACAAATTAAGTCAGAGGAGCAATGCTTTTGGCTCTCATTACGTGGACAGTGTGATGTCGTGGAGCTCGTTGCTTCTGTCTGGTGACCAGTTCTTTTCCCTTTTCCAATCCAGTGCTCCCTCACCCTGTTTTCTGCAAAGAGAGCTGTGCTTCTGCACAAATTACTGTGGAAATTGATGCCTAACCTTTTTTTTTTTTGTCTTAAAGAATTAGGGGTTTATTGAGGCAGAACGCTGGAGATGGGCATGTTACGGCTCAGTGTGCATTCACCGCTTTCTGTGCATCCTCTCCCAGTGGGGTGCAGGCCCTTGTTCACTCAAGTGCTTATTTTCTTCTAGGAGATGCTACTGTGTGTGGCAGCAGTGAGATGAGAGCTGCTTCCTGGTGCCTCCCAGTGAGAAGCGTGCTAGAAATGCCAACAGCTGCATATCCATCCTTGGCCAACCATCTCATGGTAGCTAGGAGTTACCACAGGTGACCTGGTCCGTGTTGAAGCTGGTAGTGTAGATGTTTTGTATTCTCTTGTTGGATTTCCATGCCCTCCTGGACATGGCAGTGGGTTAAGGAGAGATTTATTGCTGTTCCTGCTCGTGGCTAGGTGGTGAAAATGCAAAGTCCTTAAACAACGCTAGTTGTTGGCAGTTCCAGGAGCTAAACCTAAAATCAGAAAAGAGATCAGAATCCAAGATTCTGGGGCTCTCTTCTGTTTTTCATGCTTTCACACTGGCTTTGAAGGACACATATTCCCATGGACTCTAGAGCAGCTGATCCTTGGTGCGTGTCAGTCAGGTGGAGCAGTGGTTTTTGCCGATGTTGCAGCAGTTTTTGCCAAAAGCTCTGGCTCTGCTCCGTTTATGCATGACTTTGGGAAGGTTTCCACTTCCCGCCGCAGTGAATTAATGCTGTGCCTTTTCTGCCTGTCTCCAGATCAGATTTTTAGCCCTGTGCCATTGAAAAGCCTCTGCAGCCTCCCAGGCTCCCTGAGCTCTGCCTTGCAACATCTCTGCTCCTCCTGCACGGCGAGGGAGGGTAGATTTGGGGATGGCTTAGTGCCCCCACGTCCTGGAGAGGAGCAGGTAGCGCTGGAGTGGAGCATCCCCCCTCAAATCACGCAGGGAGTGTGCTCATCTCCAGCTGGGTGGATTTGTTTAGCCCAGCCGCCGTGACACAGAGGTAGCAATTCTGGAGATGTGAAAATAGCCAGATAGCGACTCGCCTTCAGCTTCCCATTGAGGGGCACCTCGCTGGCTCTGAGACCACAGGGATTTTTATCTCTGCCAGGGTGTTTCCTCTCACTCATGTTTGCTCCAGGCCACATCCGCTGCTGCTGCTGGGAGCATGCAGCAGGGATCGACGTCGGTACACGCGCACCGCTCCCGGCGTGCCCCTGCGCCATGTGTACCAGGTTTGCCAACTGCAAGGCAGCAGAAGCCCGAGGCAATCTCACAGAGCTTGTGAGTCAGCCACAAAGGCACAAAGGTCACTCAGGTGCTGGAAGATGTCTGCGAACGTTTGCAGCTCCGCCACTGTATTTTGGTGGTCCTCTAAGAGCTTTGCCGCTGTTTGATGAGCAAACAAAGCCGTTTGCTGTGGTTCTGCTGAGAGCAAAGCTGTGTATTTCTTGGGTTA